GCTGCTGCTGTCTGCTGCTGTAGACAGACGCAGCAGCACCCTTTGTTTTATCATCATAAACAAAGTTACGTCTAATTCACCCATACAGAACGGCGTCTGTAGATTTGCTGCTTTGCTGCACTCAAAGAAATCTGTTAAATCAGCAGGAGCTGAAGGGGGCCCCCATTGGGGGCCCCCCTCACCACCTGGGGGCCCCCTTACTGGGGGCCCCCTACGCCCCCTGCTTGCTGCCCATACACCCGAGAATACTAAATATATCAAATGCAGCATCGCGTGAGTTGGAGATTGAATGTGAACCTGCAAATAAACACAAAGACAGACAATATACATATATATATATATATATAAATATATAAATATATATATATATATACATATATATATACATATATATATACATATATATATATTTATATATATACACTGTAGGGGTATATTATATAAATGAATAAATAAGTAAATAAATAAATATATAAATATAAATATAAAGATATATATATAATGCATCCTCAGTCCAAATAAAGGCAACAGAAAGAAAGACAGAGGGAGACAAATAGGCGGAAAGGCAAACTGCTGCTGCTGCTGCTGTTACTGTTGCTGCTGCTGCTGTTGAGACCCCACAGCAGCAGCAGGAGAGAGAGACAGGGCGATGAGGCTGGAGGAGACACGAGAGAGGTGGGGACAAAGTAAGGAGACAAAGAGACACCCCAGAGAAGAAGAAGACATATAAGCAGCAGCAGCAGCAGCAATAGCAGCAGCAGCAGCAACAGCAGCAGCAACAGCAGCAGCAGCAACACAATAAAAGGCTTGCCTTTGCCGCTGCCGCTTGCATATCGACGCTAACAGAGACACTCGCACTGCTGAGAGCTGCTGTACGTAGCGGCTGCAGCAGCAGCACAACAGACCGCAGCAACCCCACCCATAAACACACTCCTCTGTCTCCCTTTTAGAGACACTTTATGCTGCTGGCCTCCACAGCAACAGCAGCCGCTGCAATTAGGGTTTGATGTTCATACCGAGGGTTTAAAATGAGGGTTTAGAACGAGGGTTTAGGGCTTGCTATTAGGGCTTAGGACGAGGTTTAGGGCTTGCTATTAGGGCTTAGGACGAGGATTTAGGGTTTGCTGTTAGGGTTTAGGACGAGGGTTTGGATGTAGGGTTGAGGATGAGGGTTTAGGGTTTAGGGTTTGCATACATCAGAGAGCATCTCTATAACAGTGTGAAGAAAGAAAGAGATGCCGACAAGGGCTTTAATACGCTCATTAACTCTCTTCTCCCCGCGTCTCCGCCCTTTGCTGCCTCTACTCCCGCTGCTGCTGCTGCTGCTGCTGCTGCTGCTGCTGCTGGGGGCTGGGTGTAGGAAAGGAAGCTCAGGATACACCCAAAAGGTTGCTTCTGCTTTGTGCACGCCCTTGGGGTTTCTTCGGTCTATAAACAATTCGCATAAAGTGCTGCAGGGGCCCCCCTTAGGAGGCGACACTGCAGCAACAGGCGGTAGCGAGTCCCCTCCAGCTGCTGCTGCTGCTGCTGCTGCTGCTGCTGCTGCAGGAGTTTCAGTTGGCTTTGGAGGAAGGAAGGGGTTGTGAGTAGGGAGAGACAGAGACAAAGCGTTTGCAAGCCGGAGTGTCTCCGCAGCAGGCAGCAAGGAGACACTTCGCCAGCTCAGCCGCCACTTCTCTTCTAACGGCAGCACCGCAAAAGGCAGCCGCTGCAGCGAAGCTGAGCGATTGCACAGAGGCCCTACTAAAGGAGATGCTACCTGCAACACACACGCAATCAGCTAGCTAGCTAGCTAGCTACACAGCTACCTCCCTAGCTAGCTAGCTAGCTGTTTGTGTAGCTAGCTCGCTGGCTAGCTAGCTAGCTACACAAACAGCTTGCTACCTAGCTAACACACCAGCTAGATGAACATCTGGCTAGCTAGCTAGCTAGCTAAACGTCTGACGCAGCATCCTATTGGCTAGCTGTTTGGCTAGCTGCCTCGCTAGCTAGCTGCATAGCTAGTTAGCTACATAGGTAGCTAGCTAGCTAGCTAGCTGTTTGGGTAGCTGTGTGTGCGTACGACAAGGACGAGGCGGCTGGGTGTGAAGCCCTGCAAGAAGGCAGCAAATTGTTTAGGAGAGACAGATGAGAAGAGAAACCCTTCTTGAAATACACGTCCCTTGGCCTCTGTGCGTAGTGCTGCAGCAAGAGCAGCAGCTTCTTGAAGAGGAGACAGCTGAAGAAGCAGGGATGGATATTGAATAAACTTTTCTGAGGTAGAAGGAGACAAAGAGACAGCCGGAGACAGCCCAGAGCCCCCGTATGCTGCTGCTGTTGATAGACCAGACAGCGATGGAGACAGCGAAGGCCTTCGCCTCTCTTGCAGCTCAAACGCTGTCTCCTCTGCTGCTAAGCGCTGTGCTATAAACCCCCAGTGCTCTTCTGCTGCTGCTAGCTGCTTTAACAACCTAACAAACAAACAACACACACACTTACAGCCATATATATATATATATAT